TTATTTTAATCGTAGAAAGTAAAAATGCAATAATATACAGGGTGTTCCATTTAAAAAAATACAACTTTGATATTTTTTATTTATTTGGGACACTCTGTATCTTGTAAAAATATTTTTAAATTGTAGCTCTAATAGTCCTTCAACGAACCCAAAACTTACAATTTGTAAAAATCTAATCGTTTAGCTACAGTACTCCGTGTCGTATGTGGTGAACAACCCTGTATATCAGAAACACGATTATGAGGAGTTTTTCGCCAAAAAAAATCGGATTTTTTTTATTTTTTAGTTAAAAAACATAATTTCTTGATAATATGGATCATAATAATTAGCAGATTAAATTTACAAAAAAGAACTCAATGGTTCTCAAAATTTAAGCAAAAAATCATATTTTTTGGAAATCTTCAAAATAAAATAAACTCGGTTATTTCGGACTTACTTGAAAAACGGCAAAAAGAAAATATGTTTCTTTTAACGAGACTACCAGCCCTATATTTATTTATAGATTTGTTTTTTTACTATTGATAACGGAAGGTATATCTCCTGAAATGCTCAACATTTCTTGTCGGTTAGACAAATTTGACTTATACGGGTAAAAAGCCTCTCAAGTTAGTTTCTTTTAGGATTTTACGCAGGAGTGTTAATAAAAAAAAACTTTTTTATTTTTTAGATTTCTCTTTCAGTGAAGAAATTCCCATGTTTTTTTCAAGAAATGAACCAACCACAAAGACATGACAATTATTTATGCTGTTATTGAGTTGTTGTTTGAGTTTTTCTTATGTGTGAGTTTCATATAGTGTTTCAACAGCTTTTATTAATCTTATACTAATTACTCGATGTTGATGGTTACCACCGATTGTCAAAATTTTTGTAAAATATTTTTCTAGACTCATAATAACATATCGCAACGAACAGTATTTATGACCTCTGTTGCTCAATAAAACAAAACACAAAAATATCTAATTTTCATGTTCTTTACGTCAGGAAAATCCTGTCGATGTTTAAATTCACATCTCTTTCCGAAACTCTCCCTTCAATACTCAACAACTATAGTAAAAAAAGTACAATAACATATATTACAGATGTTTCTATAAAATAACGAAAACCCGAATTATGTTTAAAACATGGAAACTACATCCTCAACAAGTCTATCCGACGCGACAAAAACTTTGTTCGGTGCTGAAACCGAAATCGGTCCGAGTTGAGTTTTCAGTTTTATCGCCCAGAACATAAAAGCGAGCGCTTTTGTGCCTAAAAGGGCTCGACCGAGACGGTTTTACTCGTTGTGCCGCACTCACACACGTGCACACGGAAAATGGGAAAGCGATATGGCAAAGAGAAAAGCACCGCAGCCAGCCCAGGTTTCAATGGACACATTCGTAGTGGTAGTTATTCGGCGAAACTGCATTGTTTTAGCGAACTGGCGGTTAAATAAAGGGAACGGGTACCTGCAAATGCAATTATAAGAGACAGATTCGATAATTTTCGAACGAAAAGCACGTTGGGAAGTTTATTTTAACTGACTTTGTATGTTTTTCACTACAAAATGTAACATTACAAACGGTAACAGTCTTTAAACGACGATTTTATTGTAATATACGTTTCAAATTTGATTTCTCAATAAAATAAACTTTTGTAACATGAGTAATGAAGAACAATTCATCCATCGTCAAAACTATTTCCGGTAAATTTATTGGAAAGTTTGTTCCAACGATTTTTAATAGAAGTCTCTAAAAAGATGAAAAAACTAAAGTGTTCCTCTTGGGTAGATGTATTTGGCCGTTTTAAATAGATTTCTCTTGTTTCAGATTTTTTTTTAGTATTGATAACGGAAGGAGATATATCTCCTGAAAGGCTAAGCGTTTGTTGTCGGTTGGGCAAATTTGACATATATGTGTACAGGGTGGCTAAAGTGTTCCTCTTGGGTAGATGTATTTGGCCGTTTTAAATAGCTTTCTCTTGTTTCAGATTTTTTTTTAGTATTGATAACGGAAGGAGATATATCTCCTGAAAGGCTAAGCGTTTTTTGTCGGTCTAGAAAAGTCTCTAAAAAGAACAAAAAACTAAAGTGTTCCTCTTGGGTAGATGTATTTGGCCGTTTTAAATAGCTTTCTCTTGTTTCAGATTTTTTTTAGTATTGATAACGGAAGGAGATATATCTCCTGAAAGGCTAAGCGTTTTTTGTCGGTCTAGAAAAGTCTCTAAAAAGAACAAAAAACTAAAGTGTTCCTCTTGGGTAGATGTATTTGGCCGTTTTAAATAGCTTTCTCTTGTTTCAGATTTTTTTTAGTATTGATAACGGAAGGAGATATATCTCCTGAAAGGCTAAGCGTTTTTTGTCGGTCTAGAAAAGTCTCTAAAAAGAACAAAAAAACTAAAGTGTTCCTCTTGGGTAGATGTATTTGGCCGTTTTAAATAGCTTTCTCTTGTTTCAGATTTTTTTAGTATTGATAACGGAAGGAGATATATCTCCTGAAAGGCTAAGCGTTTTTGTCGGTCTAGAAAAGTCTCTAAAAGAACAAAAACTAAAGTGTTCCTCTTGGGTAGATGTATTTGGCCGTTTTAAAGCTTTCTCTTGTTTCAGATTTTTTTTTTAGTATTGATAACGGAAGGAGATATATCTCCTGAAAGGCTAAGCGTTTTTTGTCGGTCTAGAAAAGTCTCTAAAAAGAACAAAAATTAAAGTGTTCCTCTTGGGTAGATGTATTTGGCCGTTTTAAATAGCTTTCTCTTGTTTCAGATTTTTTTTTAGTATTGATAACGGAAGGAGATATATCTCCTGAAAGGCTAAGCGTTTTTGTCGGTCTAGAAAAGTCTCTAAAAAGAACAAAAACTAAAGTGTTCCTCTTGGGTAGATGTATTTGGCCGTTTTAAATAGCTTTCTCTTGTTTCAGATTTTTTTTAGTATTGATAACGGAAGGAGATATATCTCCTGAAAGGCTAAGCGTTTTTTGTCGGTCTAGAAAAGTCTCTAAAAAGAACAAAAAACTAAAGTGTTCCACTTGGGTAGATGTATTTGGCCGTTTTAAATAGCTTTCTCTTGTTTCAGATTTTTTTTTAGTATTGATAACGGAAGGAGATATATCTCCTGAAAGGCTAAGCGTTTTTTGTCGGTCTAGAAAAGTCTCTAAAAAGAACAAAAAACTAAAGTGTTCCTCTTGGGTAGATGTATTTGGCCGTTTTAAATAGCTTTCTCTTGTTTCAGATTTTTTAGTATTGATAACGGAAGGAGATATATCTCCTGAAAGGCTAAGCGTTTTTTGTCGGTCTAGAAAAGTCTCTAAAAAGAACAAAAAACTAAAGTGTTCCTCTTGGGTAGATGTATTTGGCCGTTTTAAATAGCTTTCTCTTGTTTCAGATTTTTTTTAGTATTGATAACGGAAGGAGATATATCTCCTGAAAGGCTAAGCGTTTGTTGTCGGTTGGGCAAATTTGACATATATGTGTACAGGGTGGCTCGAATTCGACGCTCACCATTGGGATTTCGGAAACCGTAAAAGATACAGGATCGGTTAAATGGAGGCACAATTTGATGCTAAATAAAATGCCGTATTGCATTTTGAAAAATTCCGAATACTTCCGAATATATTCGAAAAAAAACACGGAATTTTCAATTTTGTTTTCTATTGTTTCCTGGCTTTATTTGTTAACATAACTTAAAATGAAAATCACATTTTCATGGCCACTTTTTCTGTTCTATAACTCTGTGTGATTAAATATTTTCGATTAATTATTTGCAACGGGTATCGGCAGCCAGACGGGCCGCATGCTGTTCCAGAGAGCATAGTAAAAGATATATCAAATCTGTTTTCTCAAATATATTTATATGTATTTTCTAAAGCTTTTACTTATCTTTTACCTCACCTCAAACCTTTCATATTTGAAAGTTACATAAACTACACCCTAGTTAGTTACATAAACTACATCGATTAACTACATGTAATGTAGTTTATGTAGTTTTTAAGAGTAACATGTAGTTTTCCGAACCCTGATAGTAATGCTGATCAAATTATTAGTCATGCTTGTTATTTACTAAATTCTTCAAAATGCGATGAAAATAATAAAAAAAATCTAACTTTTATCTGTGTTCAATATTAAAGTTATTAACTTGAGTTGAGTAACAGGTTGAGCTTGATGTAATAAAATATTGTTTTAATGAGTAAAATATGAGGTATGTTTACTAGAGAACTTGCAAACTGATCCTCTTGAAAGTAGGTTTGGAAAATATAGACAGTTAGCCGGGAGTCAGTACAGTATTTGTGTTCGACATTTATATGAAGGCGAAAAGAAACTTAAGATTCAGTTTTCATTCAAAATTTTACTTTTAAAAATTCACTTATAAAAAACCTTACTAAAGGCAGTCTTGGGTTTACAAAAGACGAAATAACTCATATAGTTTTATTTGAATATATAATTTTTAACAAAGTCTCGCAAAGGCATAAGGAGTTTCTCAAAATTCACAATAAAAAAATATTTTTATCAAAAATATCTTTCGATTACATTAATTACCATTATTAAAATTTCCGCAATGTACTATTTATAATGCTAAGTTATTGTAAAAATTGTCATATAAATTCTATTGGAAATATACGTCTGAAAAACTACTGTTGTTAAAAAATAATGATAGACTTGGAAAAGGAAATAAAAAAAAACTTAGACACACTTACAGCATAAATAAATACAATGACGATGGATAATGTGAGATAGGATATCAATCTGATGTTTTTTAAATTTTATGTTTCATTATTATTTATTAAAAATTCGGTGCAATTAAAGTTTATATCCATTATATACGTATAAAGTGTATCAAATGCAATCAAAGTTTAGGCCTTCAGTTGATGACGTCACGAATAAGCTGTGCGGCCTTGTTTTTACGGTGGTTACGGCCAGACGTCCTAAAATACTTTCTCGAAAACGTTGCTAGCTCTTAGACTATATAGACATTATTTATATGTATAGTTTATATGCCTTGAAATATAAAACAGTAATGCAATGTTACTTACCGCATTCGAATGTGTCTGGTCAGTCTTCAGCTCCTTATGGTTAGAATACTGCACGTATACCGCCCTGCCCCTCAGCTGTGCCACGCATCCGCCGAAGTACGAGACCTGCAACAATTAGCCGAGAATCGTTTAATCCTTTTTAAAGAGGCCGCGCCCGAAACAACGGACTTGTTTAAAAGTACAAAAGGGGATAATTAAATTACTTTGCAAGAACTTCAACGGGCGCTTTGATCTTTTATGTGCCTCGTCTAAAAACTTTACAAAAGACAGAAGTTTTCAGCCGTTTGAACTAGGGGTAGATAAGCTTGATGAAATACTGTATATACAATATAAAAATATGACATGAAACAAACTGGTTGGCTATTTGACATATCATTTTTATATTAAAATTTTGTTGTCATCATAATTTCAAAATTACTTAATTTAATACGATAGTTCTTTCCCTAATCCGAAGTTTAAAAAAAAATATTTTAAATTTGTGGTAAAATTAAACAGAAATAAAAAGAAAACAAACAAATAAAATTAGTAATCAGAATAGTCAATTTCAAGAAACAAAAGCAAAATAAAGCAGTCACTATAAATCCACACAATCCAAGGCTGGTGGACAACTTTAAAGCAGCCAACAACACGCTTCGAGGAAATCTGCACCAACTAAAAGATAACTGGTGGTCGCAAAAAGCTAATCAGATTCATCACGACTATCGTAAATTCTTCGAGGCTGTACTGTAGAAGAAGCATACAGCTCAACCAAAAATAACAGAATGCCAATCAAGGTAGAACCTCTTTCTTCTTTGATATTATATAGAAACTTTTATGGATATACTTTTGTAGATAATTTTATCAGCTTTAGTTCTGTATATAAATTGTTTTTTCTTTCATAGCAACTGTTAAAATTGCCTTATATCTATCAAAAATAACAGATAAAATAGTACTTTAACAGCAAGGGTAGATTAAATGATACTTTAACAGCGAGGATAGGTTAAAAACTTTATTTCATCTCGCACGTCTTTTAATTGCTTCCATTTTTGAAAATTTTTGTATTCCTTTTCATCAACTCCAAAAAACTTTTGAACTTGTTCCACCTATAGACATTATCATCCAGTTTGACTTTGGTATGGACTAATGGAAGGAATATTTGAAATAAAGTAGGTTCAACGAGAGAAGGGTGGATTTCGACATAGGAAACATAAATAAAATGTTAAGAAATGACAGAAAAATCTAATTTTGACAACCACTTCCATACCTTTTTCCCTAAACAGACTATACGAATATTATCATATGATAATTAATTCTGTTTCAATAATTTCATTACTTACCATGCTTGTGGCGGCGGCTTCGTCACTCATCTCCAGGAAAGCCTGGTTCTTGCCTTTGAGCACCAGCACGTTAGTGACGCGACCGAAGGGCATTCCGAGGTGGATGATTTCGGCCTCGCTTACGTCCGACGGGATGTTCCGGATGTGGATCACCCTGGAAGGCTTTCCAACGTTCTGTTCCAGTTTTACCTGAAACAAAAATCATTCTTTTAGGAAAATTACCTTTACGGTATAGCAAAGTTCAAGATAGAGCGGTATAGCTCTTATCACCAGAATGAAGCTAAGGTCTGAAAATTGGTATAATAAGTTAGAAATAATACGATCTTTTTCAAAACCTTTATATGATATAGTCTGTCCAACGTGAGGATTCCTGAAAGGGACAGTTGTATCTGCAATTTTAATATATAATCAAATTATACATAAAAGTGTAGCAGTTTTACGCCAAAGCACAAAACTCCGAAGATATATTATTAAACCGACATAAAGTGTTAAATTCAACGAGTATAACCATAGTTTCTCGATATACAGGGTGGTCTGAACTGTATTCCAAAAACTTCGGCAGCATATTCTGCAGATAAAAATAAGTAAAAAAGTTCGTGTAAATGTATGTCCTAAAATGCTTAGTTTCGGAGATACAGGGTGTAGAAGTTTCAATTTTATTTCGATTTTTTCTAAATAATTTCTGAAATAACGTCAATATTTGGATGAAAATTGGTGTCTGGGAGTTTTTTGACATGAGAAATTTGATTTTGATGTCAATATGACTCCTACTAGTAGAGGACGCCACCTACGTGTGTTTTAACTGTTTTGAAGCGTAATAACTTTTTGTCCGTACCTGTATAAAACTACCGAGCGAAAAAATATACATCTCTGTGATTTTTTACGTAAAAAATATCTCTTTGTAAAAATCACTACGAGCAACCGTTCTTAAGATATTTAGAATGGAAATAGTAAATACATGTCATTATTGACGAAAAATAAACACGCTGAGTAGATAGTTATTTCGCTGAAATAATAAATTTGGGAAATTTTAATTATTTTAAATTAAACATAATTTTTTTTGCAAAAAATGATGATATAACAGTTTCTGTTGAACATTTGGCACAAAAACATTTCAAATTTATGATTTGAGTCTAATAACTATTTAGTTAACATCTTTAATTTATGTCAATGATGACAGGTATTGATAATTTCTATTCCAAATATATCGAAAACTATTACTCGTCACGGTTTTTACCAAGAGATCTTTTTCACGTAAAAAACGTCGTAAATGTATATTTTTTTACTCAGTAGTTTTATACAGGTACGGACGAAAAGTTATTACTCTTCAAACCAGTTAAAACATATGTAGGTGACGCCCTCTACTAGTAGGAGTCATATTGACATCAAAATCAAATTTCTCATGTCAAAAAACTCCTAGGCACCAATTTTCATCCAAATATTGACGTTATTTCAGAAATTATGTAGAAAAAATCGAAATAAAAATGAAACTAAGCATTTTAGGACATACATTTATACGAACTTTTTTACTTATTTTTATCTGCAGAATATGTTGCCGAAGTTTCTGGAATACAGTTAGGACCACCCTGTATAATTACTTAGAAGATATTATTTTGAAATATTTTTATATATGTCACTGTAAATATCCGAAATGCGATAAAACCTAGGATAAGCAGCGCTAAACCTAGGATTTACCAAAAACAAGTGGTAAAAGCTCGAAAACTTCTTTATTTTGCTTCCATTTCGGACTTTTACCGGACCCAAACAGTAAATCTTATCTTAGGATTTACCACACCGCATTGGTAAAAGTACGAATTATTTTTCTTATAGCAACAATATCGACAAATTAAGGATGTCGATATACAAAGACATCTCTGTTTTTGTTTACTTAGGCATTGAAATTTTAACGATTATCGTTTCACGATATCGATTTTTGTAACGTATCAGTCTTATATGTGTTACTATAAATGTCCAAAATGCGGTAAAACCTAGGATAAGCGCGCTAAACCTAGGATTTACCAAAAGCGTTAACTAATTAGGCTAGCCCGGTTAGTTGGGGGGTGTTAATGCATTGGTTAGCCTGGTTATTTGGGGGGTGTTAATGCATTAGTTGGGTGGTTATTTGGAGGGTGTTAGTGAATTGGTTAGCCTGGTTATTTGGGGGGTGTTAATGCATTGATTAGGCGGTTATTTGGTGGGGTTGGTTGGTTTTTACTACCATTTGCTTATTCGTACTTTTACCAATGCGGTGTGGTAAATTCTACGATTTACTGTTTTGCGTCCAGTATCGTACACAATACATAAGTAATGTGAAAATTAGAAATAAAGTAGGCAAGAAAATATTTTTTAAATAATTGTTAGATATTACATAGTAATCAAATGTTCGTTGGTTAAGTGTTTTATACATCACTGAACGATTCTTTCACAGAGAAGTAATTTATAGCTATTTTCTTACATATCAAGAGCAAATTTTGTAATTCATTAATTTGAAAAGCATCCGAATGTAAACTATCTGCCGATGTAAATAAATAATTTTTCCGCGCGGCTAAAAAATGATGAAAAGAATCGCGAAGTTAAAATCAAAGAAGTTAATTTTCTTCGACGTCGTCGGGGTCTTTCGGCCTCCCCCTCTAAATAAACGATCCCTAAAACCAATCCTGTTCCGGTTCTGGCGAAAAGAAACTTGGCAATTCATAATGAAACCGGTAAAGTTTTCTTCTTAATTAGAAATTTCCTACTAATAGCGTATTTCATTTCGAAGTTGGGAAAAGTATTAAAGTCGTAAAAAATTAGACCAATTTTAAAAATCGGAAATCTAAGAGGCATACCTGGTCTTATTCGAGATTGAAATAATTAATAATATGAAATTTGTTAATATATTTAGTAAAAACACCTAATTTTTAACTATTAATATCTAGACACCTTTATACATATAATTAAATTAAAAAAGAACTTATAAGAAAAAGCCCTAAAACGAAAAATAAAAGTCTTTTCGAATACAATCAAACATTGCTCGGGCATCGATAACAGTTATTTTTCATACAAGACGATAACATGGTATTTTATCGAACGAAAAGATTAATTTTTGGAGACGATAATGCAATTTTATCGTCGTGTATAAAACAATATTTTTTTTCCATAGCGAGTTACGTTTTAAAAAGTATTCAGAAATTATTATTTCAAGGAACTTATTACGAGTAGAAAAAATATTGTGCTGAATTGGCATTGTAATTTGACAAATAAATAAAGCTGTCTCTTTAGTTCAGTATTTTTTAATTGTGGAGAAGAAACTTGAATTGTCGAAAGCTGCTAATTACTTCAGTAAGAAATTAGCACCGAAATATATAGGACCGTTCACTAATGTTCTAAAACAAACCAAACCAAACTATCCTCGCTGTTAAAGTATCATTTAATCTACCGAAGAATTTCACCGTGGACCAATGAATTGAAGGGCGCGGCAATTCTTGGCGCCCAACGTGGGGCCAAGAATTGTGTGCTCCACACTTCAAACACGACTCAATAACCAAACCAAACTATCCTCGCTGTTAAAGTATCACTTAATCTACCCTTGCGGTTAAAGTACTATTTTATCTACTATTTTAGATAGATATAAGGCAATTTTAACAGTTGCTATGGAAAAATAATACAAAATCTGTTAATATATTCAGTAAAAACACCTCATTTTTAACCATATCTAGACACCTTGATTATAATAATTAAATTAATGAAAGAACTGATAAGAAAGAACCTTAAAAAAAAACCTAAAACATTGCGCAGGCATCGATAAATGTTACTAAAATATGGCATCACTTCTTTCATTTTTTAAACGACACTACATAACATAAATTTTAGTAAAATCAGACTCTGACGACGCGCGACAGGGGGAGATATACATCCTGAAACGATAAGCATTTTTTGTTGGTTTGTTGGTTATTAATGAACAAGAACTTCTATTTGAACCATTGCCTTTTAATATTTATTCCAATTAAATAACATAAGAAACGTATTTATGTCAGATTGTTAATGACGTAGGACACGAGGCAGTCATTCAAGTTTTATTAATATTACTTTGTGTGGAGATGAACGGCAAGAAGTGGGGTGTAATTAAATACAAACAGCAAAAGGGGAAAAGTTATAACCAGTACCAAAAATAGATACAATTTGGAAATATATACCAAAATGAAATTATCGAAACTCTAGACAAATATTGTTCTGACGAAACAGTCCTTTATATTAATTACCATATCGTCTATATATTTATTAAAAGCAGAATTAAAGCATCAACTAAAAATATGAATAGAAATCAGTTCTTACTATATTCAGATTTTATTTTTACCTACAGAAATATTATTTAGTGTATGGAAAAATGCTATTATTATATTATTAGGTTAGATTGCTGCGGTTTGGGATCATGTTTGATCCCTCACTCGGAGGCCTTGGGTCCATTGCTATAACCTTGCTATTGTTGTACCAAACCTTCCTATCATTCTTTCTTTGCGTTAAAGCACTTCCAGCTCTTTGCAACATTCCCGATGTCGCTGATGTTGGCTTCTGCTGCTTCCTAGTCCCTCCAAAAAACCTTGCCCTAAAGTTTTAAAGCGTCGGTATTCCAGTGCCGGACAGTGGCACTGCAGGTTCTCTATGGTTTCTTCTTCTTCTCCGCATTATCTGCAGTAGTCATCGTTGGAAATCTTCCATCTCATAGGTTTACCCGTGGGGCAGTTTCCAGTGATGACACCTACAATTATGCATTACTAGGTTCTTTTTGTGCTCTAGTAGTTGTTTTGTCTTTTTGTTATCTACCACTGGCCACAGTCTTCGAACTGTAGCGCAGTCCTCGCGATGTAGCCATGTCTCTTGCTGCTTGGCCTTGATGGTAGTACCTTCAGTGTGTTGATCGAAACAATTGGTGGGTCATCTGCCACGACCTCTCCCCTGGCACCCTCTTTGGCGAGGCTGTCTGCTTCTTTATTGCCCACCACAATGTTTTGTGGCCTGACGCAGCCAGGACAGTGCTTCTCGGCAGTCCATCACAGTTTTGGACCTCACTGATTGCATGATGATGCCTTTTAAAGCGCCCAAACTGTCAGAGTATATCACGATATCCCCTATTGGTTTATCAGCGATTTTCTCTCGTATGCAACTGGCCGCTTAAATTATGGCGTAAATCTGTGCTTGTGGAACATTAC